AAAGACAATATGTATTATTGTAGGAGTCTCCTTTAAAAGACAATATGTATTATTGTAGGAGTCTCCTTTAAAAGACAATATGTATTATTGTAGGAGTCTCCTTTAAAAGACAATATGTATTATTGTAGGAGTCTCCTTTAAAAGACAATATGTATTATTGTAGGAGTCTCCTTTAAAAGACAATATGTATTATTGTAGGAGTCTCCTTTAAAAGACAATATGTATTATTGTAGGAGTCTCCTTTAAAAGACAATATGTATTATTGTAGGAGTCTCCTTTAAAAGACAATATGTATTATTGTAGGAGTCTCCTTTAAAAGACAATATGTATTATTGTAGGAGTCTCCTTTAAAAGACAATATGTATTATTGTAGGAGTCTCCTTTAAAAGACAATATGTATTATTGTAGGAGTCTCCTTTAAAAGACAATATGTATTATTGTAGGAGTCTCCTTTAAAAGACAATATGTATTATTGTAGGAGTCTCCTTTAAAAGACAATATGTATTATTGTAGGAGTCTCCTTTAAAAGACAATATGTATTATTGTAGGAGTCTCCTTTAAAAGACAATATGTATTATTGTAGGAGTCTCCTTTAAAAGACAATATGTATTATTGTAGGAGTCTCCTTTAAAAGACAATATGTATTATTGTAGGAGTCTCCTTTAAAAGACAATATGTATTATTGTAGGAGTCTCCTTTAAAAGACAATATGTATTATTGTAGGAGTCTCCTTTAAAAGACAATATGTATTATTGTAGGAGTCTCCTTTAAAAGACAATATGTATTATTGTAGGAGTCTCCTTTAAAAGACAATATGTATTATTGTAGNAATGCATGGTTTATATATGTAGTAGATTAAACAGGGATACATTTAATACATGGTTTGTATATGTATTAGATTAAACAGAGATACATTTAATACATGGTTTATATATGTAGTAGATTAAACAGGGATACATTCAATATATGGTTTATTTATGTAGTAGATTAAACAAAGATACATTCAATACATGGTTTATATATGTAGTAGATTAAACAGAGATTCATTCAATACATGGTTTATACATCTAGTAGATTAAACAGGGATACATTCAATACATGGTTTATATATGTAGTAGATTAAACAGTAGTAGTAGATTAAACAGAGATACATTCAATATATATGTATTAGAATACAGGTCTTCTTTGTATATAATATAATAGCGAATGTCGTCTTGTGTTGCTGCGAGGGATTTTTTGTAAATTTTTGTAATTATTCATCTCTAAAATGTTCATAATTCAAAACTTTTGCATTGTGAATCCTGGGATTATCTCAAATTAATTTAATTCCTCTTCCATATACTGTGATGGTCATACCCCGCATGGATAACTTTAATTGAGGGATCAAGCATTGATCCTCAAAATAAAAGGACCCGCATTGGATATTGAGATCAAACGTTTAAGATTTATAATACTCAACTAAAAAATTCCGACCTCAGAGCACTTCATTAGGGTTGAAAGCTACAAAATCCTTAGCGTTATTTAATTGTTAAAACGGCGCATTCAGGCTGATAGAGACAAAGGAGGAGTTTAGGCATTTTCTACATATATATATATATTCATATAAACATAACATATATGTATAACCTTTCTCCTCATATATGATATAAACTATTACACAATACATTGCATAAACATGTACACTGTACAGTACAACAGTTAGAAGGATAATCTACATAGACCGGAAGTAGAAAATTAAGTAGATAGCTACATTATTTCCCCCATTGTTTATTAAGCAATTAAACAGGATTAATTATTAGCTTCAACTGGTTGGGATTCTAAAACACATTATGCTACTTTGGTTGGTTGTGAGAAGGAGGGGGG